CCTGGGGCCAGTGCAAAAGCCTCGGGGCGCCGCATTCGACCCCCGGGCCTTAAGTTGCCTACCCCTGCTCTAAATGTTTGTGGCAGGGATGGGGATCATACATAGATACAGGCAGAGCTTGATAAAGTTATGCTTTAGGTGTAGAGTTTGCAGAATCCCACAAGCAGCATGACTATTTGAAATTGTAGCCCTAATAAACTTGCCAAGCTCTAGGTACAGGGGGTGTGGGCAGATAAAGGGAGAACTTCCTTACCATGAATTACCTTAGGATAGCTAAGTGTAGAATCCAAGCCATAGTTTGCTTTTATTTTGAAAATAAAGTAAAAAAGGGTTATTACCAACTGATATGCTAGGATGAAGGATTCCAATTCCTAGATTCTGGTATGCATTAATTTACTGTTGCACATTCCTCTGTCAAATACATGCTGGGAAGGTTAATTTTGGTAGCAAATTTGGAATATATCAGGACTGAGATCTGATAATTATGCTACTCTTGAGAACCAACTGACAGGAGTATTGGGTCATAGAATCATAGAATCATATCGCACGGAGGCTTATTGTCCTTAAAACGTCACTAGACTGTCCCTAAAGCACAAGGGTGTGATCATCAGTCAAGCTGTTCTCCCACGATGAAATTGTCATGGAGGCATCTTTTTGCCTCTCCAATCATTAAAGTATTGCGGATACTTATGTCAATAAGGGACATTCCCATTATGCAGAGAAATGGTGGCTCCATGAACGCTTTACTGATAGGATTGGCGTGGGGACACCTCCATGACGATTTCACCACAACAGACAAGTGCGATTGGCAATCACACCCTTGCGCTTTAGGGACCATCTAGCGATATTTTAAGGATGGGAAATCACGATCAAAGCATCCCCGACCAATGGCCATCCAGCCTCTATTTAAAGACTTCCAAGGAAGGAGACTAAACCTGACTGCTAGGCAAATTATACTTCAGGTTGAAAACATGGTCAATTTGATTGAATGTGTAATTTAACATAACAATTGCACATGAAGATAAAAAGCTGATGTGAGGATCTTTCATTATACAGAGGACTCAGACTTTGTTGTTTCAAAAGACCCCCCCCCCCAAAAAAAAGCCTGTTTTTTTATGGAGAGCTTCTGGGAAATTGTTATTTGCTGCCATCCTGTGGCTCCATGGTAATACTGATATTTGCTGAAGTCTTCAAATGTTTGTACAGAACAATCCTCTGGACTGGAGGGGGCAAGGGTAGAAAGACACTGAATATGCTTCAGGATATACATTATATTGTCAGCCCATCCTAAAAGCTAGGCAAGTGTGTGGGAAGGTGAATAATTGACACATAGTGACTGAGTAAATTGTGAGGCCACAATTTTATTAATTGCAGCTGTAAATGTCTTGTCTAGCATAAGGCAATAGATCCATGAATAGAACAATGTGTCTCCTGTCTGATATCCCCCTGCCTTCCAGAGAAAACTGTGGAATGAAACTGTAGGAACCACTTAGACATCAGGTACAGTATGCATTCCAGGTGAACAGATCCCTGTCACGTGCAGTGGCTGCTGGCTGATAAGAAATGGTTGACGGACTTTCATGATCTTTACATATTCCCTAGAGCCAGTGTAGTGTAGTGGTTTGAGCCTCGGATTATGATTCTGAAGACTAGGGTTCAAATCTCTGCTCAGCCATGGAAACCCACTTGGTGATCTTGGGCAAGTCACTCACTCAGCCAAAGAGGAAGGCCAAGAAACCCCCCAATAGGTTCACCTTAGGGTTGTTATAAGTCAGAAAGTTGAAGTTACATAACACCAAACAGCTGTTGTATGGACTTACCATAAAGTCTCTGAAGTTCCCTGCATGGCTAGTCTGTGGCTCATAGGGAGTGGGCAGGATCAGAGAAGCATTTGGCTATGTTTCCATGGCCAGAAATGAAATGAGTACATCAGTTCTGATAACTCTGGAGGACACTAGTGGATGTCAGAGCAGCTGTAATTATTTGTGTTTATGAGGACATCACTAGATGCATATCTGATCTTTCCTACTCTGGTAGGTCTGAGTGGTGGTGATATATGACTTAGCCTAGTGTAGATTTTAAACTCAGAACTACAACACTACAGTGAACCATGCTGAACAGTAGCCTATACCAGCTGTTTTATTGCCCCTTTCCTGGTTTTCTAAGGCCAATAATCAACCTGTTTAAAATAAATCTATTGGCACATTGAATAATTTCTTTTTTCATATATTTTGTCAACTAAATAATGAATATCTAATTAAGTACAACATGCTCAATGAATTAGTCCCATAAATTGCAAATGAGAGCAAGAGAAAGAGAGAGAGAGGGAGAGAGAAGAAAAGATGACATTCATTTGCATATAAGTCAGGTATGGTATAAATACTTATTTGGCAAAAGAAAGTGCCTTATGAAAATATGAAGCTGCTTTATATGGAGCCACTGGTCCAGTCAGTAAATCCTTCATTATGTACTTAGAGAATCACTACTCATTACCTTTAACACACAGCAGGTAACTACTTCTATTATTTTTGTTACACAAAAGTAAGTGCACAAGATGTAATCCAGGGGTAGGCAACCTTTTTGAGCTGGGGGCCGGTCCCCCGAAGTTGTCCCTTCCGGCAGGCCGAGGGGGGGGGAAATGGCGGTGCGTGCACTCACTTACATGCGCGCAACTCTCGCCGCCATGCGCTGCCACCGCCACCTCCACGTGTACTGTCGCAGCCACCTCCGCGCATGTCACGCCCGCCGTTTTGTTCTTCAAAATGGCAGCCGCGATGTGTTTGTGCATGCGCAGGAGTACTGTGCATGCACAAACGAGCCGCGGCTGCCATTTTGGAGAACAAAATGGTGGCCACGGTGCACGCGGCCACGTGGTGACCAAAACGTGCGGCAGCGGTGGCAGGGATCCGCCTGGGCCTGCAAGCGCGGGCCCCTGGGCCAGAACCGGCCCGCGGGCCATAGGTTCCTGGCCCCTGTTGTAATCCAAATAAGGATCCTAGAATGACAGAAGGGCTTTTAACTCTTTGCCCCACTGTTGTCTCAGTCAGGATCCAGGGCTGTGTTCTCATTGAATCCACCCAGAAAGCTTCTTTGAAGCAAACTGGGGCTTTCGTACTTTAGCTATGCAAATCACAGGCATCCCTCTCTATCCCAATTGGGATTATAGTAAAAGGTTAAGTCCTGGAGATTACCTGTCTTTCATGCTGGGGCTCCAGTCTGTCTTGGACCCCTTTGCTTTGCCGAAGAACAGAAAGATGTAGTTGCATACAATGTATTAAAGGCATATTTACCATGACCCAAGCTCTGTTCAACCATTCACTTGAACATGCATAGGGCTAACACTAAAGATCGGAACATAAGTAACATATACATATACGATAGGGGACACCTGGCTGAATGAGACTACGTGAAAGGGATCTAGGAGTCCTAGTAGACCACAAGTTGAACATGAGTCAACAGTGTGATGCAGCAGCTAAAAAGGCCAGTGCAATTTTAGGTGTAGAAGTATAGTGTCTAGATCAAGAGAAGTAATAGTGCCACTCTATTCTGCTTTGGTCAGGCCTCACCTGGAATACTGTGTCCAGTTCTGGGCACCACAATTCAAAAAGGATGTGGAGAAACTGGAGCGCATCCAAAGGAGGGCAACTAAAATGGTGAAGGGTCTGGAAACCAAGCCCTATGAGAGACGACTTAGGGAGCTGGGGATGTTTAGACTGGAGAAGAGAAGGTTAAGAAGTGATATGGTAGCCGTGTTTAAATATTTGAAGGGATGTCATACTGAGGAGGGGAAAAGCTTGTTTTCTGCTGCTCCAGAGACTAGGACCCGAAACAATGGATGTAAGCTCCAGGAAAAGAGATTCCACCTCAACATTAGGAGGAACTTCCTGACAGTAAGGGCGGTTCAACAGTGGAACACACTCCCTCGGAGAGTAGTGGAGTCTCCTTCCTTGGAGGTCTTTAAGCAGAGGCTGGATGGCCATCTGTCGGGGATGCTTTGATTGGGAGTTCCTGCATGGCAGGGGGTTGGACTGGATGGCCCTTGTGGTCTCTTCCAAGTCTATGATTCTATGATAAATCCTGCAATTTCAGTGTAAGACCAGTATCCCCAAGCACTCAGAAATAAATACAATAGCATCAAAAACTTTGGATGCTATTGTACTTTGATGTATAGCCAACATGGCTACCCCTAGATATGTTCAGTCAGAAATAAATTATACCATTGTGCATTGCATGCAAAGGTTTAAAAATGGCTCTGTAACTACTCTTATTTGAACACTATTAGAAAACTCCCATGCACAGAAGCCATTTTAACATGTGGATTTGGTGGGTAAATCCATTTGGTCAATATAAAGTTAGGATTGTCCATATTATAGCATACTATGTATGGGTTTGAGAACTGGATGATGACAAAAGCTGACAGAAATAAAATCAACTCATTTGAGATGTGGTGCAGGAGAAAAGTTCTGTGGATACTCTGGACAGCTAAAAAGACAAATAAGTCATAGCATCTCTATGCCATGATGATTAAATTGAGGTTGCCGTACTTCAGTTACATCATGAGAAGGCATTATTCACTAGAAAAGACAATAATGCTTATTTATTTTTATTTAGTTCAAGGGTTTATAGCCTGCCTTTCTCTCACAATGGGATTGGAAAGATGGAAGGCAGTAGGAAGAGGGAAGCCCATATATCAGATGGATAGACTTAATAAAGAGGCCACAGAGTTTGCAGGACCTGAGCACAGCTGTTGAGGACATGATATTTACAGGGGTAGGCAACCTTTCCCCTTTAAGGGCCGAGGGACTTCAGCTCCCAGAATCCCAGGAGCTATTGGCCAACATGGGACTATTGGCCAATGTAGTTGAGGCTTCTGGGAGCTGAAGTCCCTCGGCCCTTAAAGGGGAGAGGTTGCCTACCCGTTTTAGGAGGTGTCTCACCAGGAGGCGAGGTTGACTTGGAGGCACTTAACAACAAACTTAACAATGAATAGTTGAAAGTTTGGGTTTGGGTTTGTTTTTTGATCAAATACTTAAAAACTGCTTGGCCCTTTTGCTTCCAAAACAGATGCATTGAATTAATGGCATTCGCATAATATGTTGACTTACAATTTCCTTTTAGTCTACCAGATCTAATCTAGTTGGGACTAAAAACAAGATTTAGTGCCTAATAGTAGCCCTTTACTTCCTGGGTGCTTGTGTTGAAGAAAAGTTACAGTTTTTGACTGTTTTGGAAAAGTAAAGCATTGCTGTACTTTTCACGAGGCATACTTGATTTCACAGAAAAGAAGCTAGATAAGAAATGTATTGAAGTTCATGATGAGCATTAGGCAGTTAAGATGTCATAAGTTAACCTGTTTTGTATTCACATTTAATTGTGACTCCTTTGCTATGACTGCAAATGCCTGTAAAACCCACCCTAAAAGGCTGGCAGTACACAGGGTAAAGAAATTCGGTGATGTTAGTAAGTGAAGGGCTCTGAAGGATAACACATCTCTCTACCTACTGCCAGTGAGCTATGATGAGACAAGGTTTTGTGACATGACCCTGCTGCTTCTGCTTATAGCTCCATAGTTTATATCCCTTTATGGTTCAGAAGGAAAGCACGAGAACTATGAAAAATACAGAACATGTAAAAAAAAAATCTGTATTGTTCCATTTTTACTATGGCAGAGCGCCATTTCGGAAGGCCCAATGGTGCTGGTGCCATGCGAATTCGCATGGTGTTGGCGCTGTTGGGCGTTCCAAAATGAAAAGTTCCTCAGGTGGCAGCCAAGTTGATGTTTCCATCACTAGTAAACAAATGTAGAAACTGCTGAATCACAACCAAACAAATCCTGGAATGCATCTGCATAGTCCACTGCATTTGTTTTCAAAAAGTTAACACTTAATGTCTAGATCTACTTCTTCATAAACTGAAAACAGATAATAAGTGTCATTTAACTATTCACTTCTTTGTTACAAAGAAGGAATTAAAACATGGAGCAACCTTCACCACCATAAAGCCCTCTAGCTATTTTGGACTTCAGCTCCCATGATCTCTTCAAATCCTGTGGCCATGTCAGCTTGAGTGCTGGGCGCTGTAGTCCTACAAATCTGGAGGAAACTCAGTTGGGGTCGACTGATGTAAAAATTCCCAGGATTTGAATTTTTGCTATTAAAGTACCCAACTAATTTCCCCTTGCTAAGCTGGTACCAAGAAAGAAAGCATACTATTACTGCTACATTTAACACTTGTACATTTTTATTTAATTAAATCATCCATTGTACACATTGCAGCTATGTATTGTTAGTGTTGTTTGTTTGTTTGTTGTTGTTTTTAAATCTTTTAACTAATACATGCCCTCATAGATATATTCAGTTAGTGTTATCACCATGGGAACAAGATGCCAATTCATCAACTTAAAATCACCTTCTCACAGTATTCAAGTTCTCTGATAACACAGCAAAAAACCAAAACCAAAAAAGGAGAATAGCCATTATGCTGTTACACAGAACATCATCTGCACCGCAAATAACACAACAGAAATGCATTTCTTGTAGAGCCCCAGTCTTGAAGGTCAACCAGTGATGTTCTTGACAATGAGAAATGAGCTTTTGTGTATTCTGAAGTGGGTCACTTTTCATTTTCAGTCACAACAAGAGTTTATATCCTGCTTGCCAACCTATTTATTCATTT